TTCCCAGATGTGGTGGTGAGATCGCACCCAGAAAATCCGCCTATCTTCCGTCTCTCTAGCGTGCCTAATGCTCCGTGTGACCGGGGCCTGAATATGTCAACTTGTGAATGCAATTTTTTTTTAAAGGCAAAACGCTATGCTGAGGATTATTACAAAGGGCACTGAACTCAAATCAGCTAGTACCATAATACCACTGTATAAATCTACAATGCAGCCTCATTTGGAGTACTGTGTACAGTTCTGGTCACCATACCTCAAAAAAAGAGATTATGGCATTGGAAAAGGTGTATAAAAGGGCAACTAAAATGATTAAGGGGATGGAACACCTTCCCTATGAGGAAAGGTTTAAAAGGTTAGGGCTCTTTAGCTGTCAAGCCCTGCCTCCTTCGCCAGGGGGCCACCTCCGTTCACCATTGCCCTGGATGATGTTCCTTGGGCAGTAGATGGCCCTCTTCCACCTTGAGGTCCACAAAGGACCCTTGCCACTCTGGCAAGGCCCTTTCCTTTAACCCGGGAGGCACCTGAGGTCTCGGAAATGACTGGGGGAGGGAGGTTACTTTACCCCCTCCACGCCAGTCTACTGGAGCCCTTGCTGCCATTCTCTCTGGGCTTGTCCTGGGTCTCCAGCCATCTCCTTCCTGACCTCTCTCTGTGTGCCTCCCTTATATCCCTCTCCTCATCCCATCCCCACCCCCTTGTTTAGCCCTTAGCCCTCCCAGTTTGGTGTAGTGGTTAAGTGCACGGACTCTTATCTGGGAGAACCGGGTTTGATTCCCCACTCCTCCACTTGCAGCTGCTGGATGACCTTGGGCAAGCCATAGTTCTGACAAGAGCTGTTCTCTCAAGGACAGTTCTGTCAAGAGCTCTCTCAGCCCCACCTACCTCACAGGGTGTCTGTTGTGGGGAGGGAAAGGGAAAGGAGATTGTAAGCCGCTCTGAGACTCCAAGTGAAGGGCGGGGTATAAATCCAATCTCCTGCTCCCCCCCCCCCAATCTGGCCCCACTCCCTTTTTAAGCCCCAATGCCCAGCTGAGGTGCTGAATGCGGCTCCGGAGTCAGCGTATTGCTGTCCTGATGAGCACCTGGGCCATCGTTTGCTGATTCTTCCTACTCTAAGGGGCAGGCCTGGCTCAGTGTCTTGGGGTCACGATCAGTGTTCCCTCTAAGATGAGTTAGTGTGAGCTAGCTCACAGTTTTTTAGCATCCGGCTTACACATTTTTGTCTTAGCTCAGGAAGGATGGCTCCAGAACACACTAATTTATGCAGTAGCCAAATTGCTCGCTCACAACTTTAATGCCAGGAGCTCACAAAGTAGAATTTTTGCTCACAAGACTCCACTGCTTAGAGGGAGCATTGGTCACGATGCCTCTTTTGTTTCGACTTGTGACCGGGCATCGGTTGTCCAGCCGGGTATGGGTCCACCGCTGTCCATCCCGTGGCCCTCGTGAGGCCAAGGCCTTGTGTGGCCACCCTGGTTGCAGTGCTCCCTGCTACACTATGTCTGGGGCAATGATGCTCTGTATTCTTGGTGCTTGGTGGGCAACAGTGGGAGTGCTTCTGGAGTTCTGGCCCTGCTGGTGAACCTCCTGATGGCATGTGGGTTTTGGCCACCGTGTGACACAGAGCGTTGGACTGGATGGGCCATTGGCCTGATCCAACATGGCTTCTCTAATGTTTTTATGAGTCCAATTTACTGGTGCAAAATTCTCTCAGAGCCCAAGACCAACAAGACAGTGTGACCATGGTCTGTCTCACTGAACAGGTGGACAGTGCAGAAAGTGAAGCATGCTGGGAACTGCAATTACCAAGCTGAAAAGGGCAGAGGGAAATGCTACTGAAAGTGACTCTCCTCCCCTTTCTTGCTTGAAATGTGAATTTTTAAGTGTTCCCTGACTGACTTGCTGTCCCTCCAATTTGCTTCCCCTTCCTCAATTAAGCTGCTTCAAGTCTCTAACAATCCCAGATGAGTTCACTTTGTCTGGCACTGCCCCTTCTCATTATTTTCTCTCAGTGTTTATTCTGCCACAGTAGTTCTATTTAATGAGCCCCTTTACAGCTGGCATTTGGATAAATATCCTGAGATCAAAATTATTGCTATTTTGATACTTGCATAGGAGAGGTGAAGGAGGACTTCCTGACAAACAAGGTCTGGTGTTGTTGAAAGCTCCACTTGGGTACTACAGTATTGAGGATTATCATCAAACATTTTCACAAGGAAGATGTTTTTGGCAAGTTGACATAAGGACACAAAACATTGTGCCAGGGAATACATTGTCGCCTGTCTTGTCCCTACACAAATTGGGAAAGCCAGTGATGTCTTTAGCAGTTAGAATGTCAGTCCAGGGTTTGTGTGTGTTTTCCTGGGCAGGTGCATGGTGGTGGTGGTGGGGATTAGAAGGAAATTTGCCAGAAAACCCCCAAACCCTGCAGCCAGTTGTGATGGACAGGAAGCTGTCCTGCCCCCAAAGGAAAAAAACCCAGCCACTCAGCTGACCTTCTGCGGGTGCTGCTTCAGCATCCAATCATCTTTCAGAGGGGGAATCCAATGTTGGAGGGAAGCACAGCAGGACGTTAGTTCAGATCTACCTCAAGAAGAGTGCAGCGATAGTTTGGGTCTGCCTCAGTAAAAGAGGAGACAGTTTGAAGGGTAGCTCTGCCTGGTAGCGTGGCAAAGTGGTTTGACTCTGCCTCTGGGAGAGAATAGAGTTAGGACTGTTTTTGGTAATGAGCAGACCTTTACACCATTTAAATCTGACTCTTGGGAAACGGCAGGCTGGTGTGGGTGGAATCCTGTGTGTGAGAGAGAGGATCCAGCCTGACGGCTAGTCAATGGAAGTCTGCTTGTGCCTGTAAACATTAAAGAGAATTCAGAACACACTCGGAAGCCATACCTAGGTTAAATTTACGTGTCTCAGCCAGGTTTCTTCTTTGACGATTTGGAGTTATGCTATATATTCTTTAAAACCACCCTGCAAATAAATAAATCTTTGCTGTTTACATACAATTCCTGCTTCAGTGATCTCTGTGTTCTACTTGCTCACCACAAAACTTACCTCATGACAGCAAACTCAAAGCCTAAATACTTGCTACCTTAAGAACATCTGGTAGCTGAGGGGAAGGTTTCAGGGGTCATTTCGTAGAAAAAGAGCTAGGGGAACTCATTAGCATAACTCATTAGCATATGCCACACACCCTGACATCAGGGGCCCGGCGGTGGACCTGCAAGGCCAGCGGGAGTGCGAGGAAGCCCCGCCAAGGCCCTCCCTGGCCCCAGGCAGGCAGGGGTGGGGAGAGGCGGGGAGGAAGCAACTTACCCTCCCTCTCCTCCTGCCTCCTCCTGGCTGAATGAGGGCTGGAAGCAGGGCGGCCGGAAGCAGGGGGCGGGGCTTCGTCATGTGCCCCGCCCCCCTGCACCTCACCCGGGGGAACTGCGTTCCCCCGCGTTCCCCCCCGAAATGACCTCTGGAAGGTTTACAGTTTAAAACAAACCTGGTTCCTCAGAATCATAAGAGGCCGTGTGGCACCTCTCAGTTGGTAGAAAAGGCCTGTCATGCCGGTCCTATTAAATAAGATGTCTGAGGGTTTTCAGAAGCCACAACGTGGCTGCTCATCAGAGAGATAAGGGAACATTAGCAGTTCTTTATTTCTTTCTCATCTCATATGTATCCCTCCGCCCTTCCCCTCCCTCTTATTTATTTGAATCTCTTTCTTCCTCCAGCAGGCTTTTGCTAGATCCTTTGGCTAGCATTGTTCAATGAACATTGTTCAACCTTTTCAGCACCTGTTTTTCCTAAGTGTCTCACCATCACTCTCTCATATTCAACACCTGCCTGCCCTGCTCCTCTGTGGTGTCAAGGAAGTTCAACCAATCACTTCCAGAAGCATCATTACCATCATTGCTACCAACACCACCATTTCCTTTGCACATTAATCATATACATTGTGAGAATCAGGGCCGAGATAGCGCAGGCACAACTAAGGAGCAATTCATGCAACCACAATTATCATAGGATATCTTGGTTGCATGAAATGGCTACCACAAATCAAGGAGTACATTAGTTTATCTAATGGTGTTCTTCTTACCCTTAGCACAGAGGCAGTCGGGGGAACGTAAGAGAGAAGAAATTCATGGTTTAATAGCAGGAGACTCTGTGATGCATCTTGGCAAGCTGTCAGCATTGTCAACTAACATATAAACTGACAATGCAATTTCTGCATTGAATTGGGGGTTGCTAAGGCCACATTGGAGCTCTGGACAGGTTACAATATACACTGAGGATTTCAGAAAGCAACTTACACCTATCCTGATAGCTGTCCTGAGATTTCCCACCTTCTACACAAAACACTGCCTTGTGTGTTCATAGCACCAAGCGCCTTTGGACATCTATCATAATATCCTTGTCTTAAGCTGTGTTGATCTGTTCAAAAGCAAAGGAAAGTCCTGGTTCAAAGGTCATCTTGCCATGAACTCACTAGGTGGAGGCTTTAAGCAAACTACCCTCTCCGCCCTACCTTCCAAGGCTGTTGAAATACTGGCCTACCTTACAAGGTTGTTTCAAGTATTACTGTGATAATAGCACTTATGTAGCATTTTCAGTGTGCAAGCCACTCCATATATATATTAAGATGCTGACAGTGAGGATAACAACGCTAGTCTCTTGCAGGGGTTACTCAGGAGGCCCTGCCTTAAATGGCCCACAATGTACTTCTTTTGCATAGAGGCAGATTCTGCACCGGAAGGTTTGTGTTCATCTCAAGTCACACAAGAACAGTTATTTATATTGCAGAAACCCTCTATAAAGTACTTGTAGACTTCAATAACTCATCTTTTGAGGGTGGGGAAAGGCACTCCAGAAAAGGGAGGAGCAGACCCTAATCTGGTAATAAACACACAGCTTCAACATCAGGGTATGCATTCTACTTTAAAAACAAGCTGTGGCTTCTCTGCTTCATTTCACAGGAAGGCACTAATGGTCTCCTCTTTACTCCTTTCCTGCAGATATTGGGATGAGTTTCACACCTGCGCTATGACAGCCCTGTGGGAGTGCCAGCGGGAGGCTGCAGCTGTCTGGGAGATGCTGAAAAGGGAATCCAAGAAAATCCAATTCCAAGGCAGCCTATTTGACCTCTGCGCCTTGCAGAATTCCAGCGCCGTGCAAATTTCACATATATTGCTGTTAAGCATCACTTCAATGGTCACTTGGCTTAATTTATAAAGGGAAAAGTGCTGAAATTCCAACATCTGTGCAATTATATGCCCTCCACCCAAATATTTGATTAAATATAGTTAGGTTATTTGTGTCTGTGTGTGTTTGACCAATTTCCTGTGTCTGTGGAAAAATCCGTAGCATTTTCTAATCTTTAGTGCCCCCCCCCCAACTAAACTGTGTCATCAACAGTATATTTAGCAACGGCTCCAATTCGATCTTGCCTAAGTGAGATTGCACATTGATGGTAGATTTAAGAAGCCTGAGATGCCGATTCTGGGACAAAGACGGGAGCTCAAATCCCTGCTCTGTGCAGCTTTGCCTGCTCATTTGGATATGTTTTGGCAGAAGTACCTAGAAGTTCATGGTTCAGAAGCACCCTTAGGTGCAAATGGAGTTGCTGGATAATGTCATGGAATGGTACAGGCTTTCTCTAAAGAACCAAATTCACTTGGATTCAGTTCAACCTGGAAGTAATCACAGGGGATATTTATTGACACAACTCGTGGCTACATTTTGGGGCACTCAACTGGTTATTCCCAGGATCAGCTCATCTGCAATCATGCTTTGGGACAGACGACCACCTGAGAAAGGTAAAACCTGACCCTACCGCATCCTAGAGCCTGAGAGTGTGATCATGAAGCCCTCTGGACCAAAGATGGTTGATGGAACAGCAAGCTTACTAATAAACATGGACCTTTTGCACTGCTTAACACGCCAATCTGTATCACCTTTTCTCCCTGACAATCATTTTTTCTCTTCTCACATACATTTAAGGATAATGGTATGGTAAATTCTTCCCACTGGAAAACATTCCAGCCTCTTTAGCAAATAGTCATGGGGTAAGACGCCTTGTCATTCTAAGGACTAAAACACAAGAGGTGTTACAATACCCATGAACAGATCTCCCACTTTTCTCCCCATCTTCAAAGCAGCTGGTTCAGAATAACCTTCTTCATGTATTATCTTTACAGGGATAAAACTGAGGAAAGGAAAAGCATGCAGAACCCTGAGCTCCTTGGGGTAGTGGTGGTGGTTTGGGGACAGAAAAATGAAAAAGCTAGCCAAAAGGAAACTTAAGGGCAGGAGCCTTTCAAGACCAACAGCAGACCTTCTGTAACACCACCCAAGTTCAGTGTACCCCAATCACAGCATCGACTCCTTGGCAAATCCCTCTTCAGACTGTTGCCACAGCTCTCTAAAAATGTCTTCCTTGATTTAGCAACTCTGGATTAAATGTTTGGGGTTTGGCCAATGGGCCTGGCAACGGAAGTGGGTGTTGCAGAAGCCCTCTCCCTCACTGAGGACAACCCTCCAGGGCCAGTGCTAGACTAGCTTCATTAAGGAAAGGGAGCCATCTGCCATTCACCTGCTCCAAACCAGTGAATATGCAGCAGAAAGGAACACAAATATATGAAAAATGGAAACTGAGATGGAGGAAGAACAATCTTCTTTGGGGAAAACTCCCCTCCCCCAAATATGACACCTCCATTCAAAAACAGGTTGACATTCAAATCCGCCACACACAATAGCAATCTAGAGTTTAACCCAGACTTAATTCAATGAGATTTAACTTCCAAGTATGCCTGCACAGAACTGTAGCCTAAACTGGCAAGGGCTTCTTTTTCTGCCACCTTACGTGGGTTTTTTACTGCATCCTCACATATGAACATTTCCCCCTTTGCCACCTTCTTTCATTTTTTAAAACTTCTGGCCAGAGGGAGAGTTTTATGTAATTCAAAAGTTTTTACAGAATAAAGCTTGAGTCCAGTGGCACCTTTAAGACCAACAAAGGACACGAAAGCTTACACCCAGAATTACACTTTGTTGGTCTTAAAGGTGCCACTGGACTCAAACTTTGTTCAAAAGTTTTCATAGTAATTTACAAACCCTGATTGGCCCAGATAATAATACCTAAGCATTGATGTCGCTCCAAGTTTTCAAAACACTTCAGATTAGGGGCATACAAGTAAAAAACAATTGCTTTAATTCCATATAGGAAAGGACATGCTTCTTGCTAAATGTTGGGACTGTTGTTATATCAGAAAGTCATTTAGGAAATATCAGAATACCCTTGATAGTTAATAAAAAGCATGCATGCCCTTCCCCACACGGAACTAAAACTAGGAGGGGGAGACTAAGGGGAAGTTGCCCACCTTACAGGTGAGAGCTGGGCCTTGGGCCTTTACATTTAGAGGGGCATTATTTTCTGTGGGGGTAGACCTGGCCCAAAGCTCAACTCTCACCTGTAAGGCGCTTTCCCTTGGTTGCCCTGTGGGAATTCTGAGCCAAGCCTCATGGGAGATGAGGAGCCTGCTAGATTGCCCACTGGCCTGCCCACCACTCTCCTACTGTCAGGGTAAGCTCTGTCATCTTCGATAGCAGCGGCAGGGCCATCAAGAGGCAGGAAGGCCCCTTGGCCACTTTGGGGTGCCGTGTGACCCTGGAGCTGCCAGCAGCGCTGACAATTGGCTGCTGACACCAAGTCAGTTCAGGGTCAGTTGGAGACCTTTTTCAATGGTAGACCAGACCTCTTGTCATTAGGATAAAATGGGGTGTGTGTGTGTGTCAGGTAAGCCAAACTGAACTCCTTGGAGGAAGGGTGGAGTTAACCCCCCTCCTGCCAATAACTGCTTTCTGCTATCTCAGGCAAAGCTTTCTTCAAAAGCATCTGCCTCAAAAGTGTCACATCTCCTAGTCTGCAGCCTTCATTCCTGGTGGCCAAATGCAGCATCAGCCATCCATACAGTCTTTGGCAATTATTGGCCCACTGGAAGAGCACGTGCTTTGCCTGCATAACGATTAAGGCGCTAAGCCTGGAATCTCCATAGGTAAGTCACCTGCCAAGGGCCTTGGAGCACCTAGCTGACCATACTTGGCTAAATGCTGCTTCCACAGGGATGCTATTTTGGGATATTCAAGAGGAATGGGTTTTCATGGTATGCTGCATAATAAACTGCAAACGGATTTCTTAAAAGACAGTTTACAACAGGATTTAGGAGTATTTTGCAAAACATTAAAGCTAACCAAGAAGAAAACAGTGCCACCTGCTGGGGGAAAATGGGTATATTGCATGTGCCTGATCAAACCTTGAAAGAGGCGAATTTTGATTCTGATGGGTTCACTTGACCATAACAGCAGGGCAAGAAAACAGCTGCCTTCTTCCCAACGCAAGGCAGAGTAAATATTTAATCTAGGACAAGAGCTATGTGCAAAGGGTTGCCAGCTACAGAGTATGTACAGAAACCCATCAGAACGTTTTGAGACGATTTATCAAATTCCTGTTCACAAAATTATCTCTCCAGTCTTTACAAAGTGAGTATTAATTTACCAGTATAACTTATACAAACTAATAGTGTTCACAAATATTTATATACAAATGAAATCTCAGTGATATGACTCAAATGAAGCAACGTCCGTAGTTAAAAAGCCAGATAAATCCACTGATGCCTGGGCCCGATACTGACCAACCTTCCCATGGCTGCACTGAACATGGGCCGTCATGTAGCTGCTTAAGCCTCTGTCCATAGGAGACTACTGATGCTGTATACAAAGCAAATGGTGGTACTATGAAGACACCAGCTAACTGTGCCTGTAACGCAGAACAACATGGGTCCTTGGTTACAGAGAACAGAATCTGATCATCGGAGAAAAGGTTTGCATCTCCATGGTGATGCATGTTGCAGAGGCTCATCTGAAGTATGTCTAGCTTAGAATTCAGCACTTGTAATGAGTGACAGCTACCCCTCCACCTTCAGCCTTGAGACTGGCTGTCTCCTACGTTGAAGCTGGGGGGGGGGGGGAGGCACAGCTTTTCGAATGGTGTGCCTTTCTCCCTGCTGATGCACAAAGCAACAGCGTAACCATGTCCAACCAGTGACCTATAATACTCTGATGGAAAAATAAGTTTCTATTGTTACTATCTTTTAAATTCTTCCACTCAAACAAACGCAGTCATGTCCTCCTTTGCCTGTGTTCGAGTGGCAAAAGAAACCAAGCGGTCTGGGATCACAGCTTGCTGGCTCTGAAGTATGGCAGCCTGTCCTCCGACACTCTTTTATCCCCTCAGTTTTTAAATCAAGAAGGCCAGCTAAAATCAAACAGATGTTGGGTGTCCAGGAGAAACAAAGCGCTAACTCCAAACAGTTCACAGAATACTGCTCGATGTCTACAGAGATCTCCAGAAGGCTACACCTTCTACTGCAGAAAAAGGAAAGCTCTCGTCGCCACAACCCAGTCCACATCGCTCAAAAGATGTGTAACTCCTGTTTTTACTTGTACATGTTGTTTTCCAGAACTGGATCTGACCTGTGCCATGAGCCATGTGGGCATGTCCTCTTGTAAAGGTGATAAGGTGGGTCTCGTCAAAATGAAATATCTGCTTTGTTCATCTTGTTCAGGGGATCCGCAAAACTTCATTCTTGCAGCCACTGCTATCTTCAAAAAAGTCAGTACAGCCCTGCTTACTTTCTTTAGCTCTAACCTCATGTGCCACACGTTAGCACCAAGACGTAGAAGCCGACCAGAAGAGACAGGACATCTATACATTGGATTTGGGGACTGAATTTAATGGAATGTCCTTCATTTCAGTTCTCATACAGAGGTATTCCCCAATCACAGCCATGAGCGCTGTGCACACAGTATGTATGAGCCACCAGGTCAGAACAGTGGGAAAGCGGCCATTGTAAATCCAGCAGCCCAGCAGGTGGAAAAAGTGAATGGTGACTGTGAAATCCAAGCACTGCTTTCCGCGGCGGACGAAATATAATAAGCCCACAGCACTGTGAAGGGGGAGGGGGGGAAAAAGAGCAATTCAATCTGAAACACAACATTCAGACAAGGAACTCGAGAAAGCAGTTATCTGAAATGGTTGGGTTGGATCCGTCCAGCCTCATTCAATTCCTCTTCTTACTGCAGCCACCACCCCACTTGTCTTTTGTCCACACAGCTCTCATAATTCCCTGCATAGCCCCTGTTGGCTGGTCAAAGAGGACCTGTCTTCCCTTTCTCACCTGCTGGTTGGAGCCAACCCACTGCATTTATCCTCTACTAAAGGCAAATCTTACATTGCTCCCATTGAGTTTTTGACAGAGCCAGAAGTTAACAAATCACCATCACACTAGAGCTACAGCTTCTCATTTAGACAATAGTTATTTTAGGCAAATTTTTTAATTTGGCAACTTTAGTTTACTTCTTCTGACTGAGCTGTAGGTATGTCACTTTTCCCACATCTAAGGCAACCAAGAACAGATACTACAAGGGAGTCAATATTTTGTGTTACTGAGCATTCTTCAAGGACAAGGAAATTTCACTTACTAACATACTTGTTTGTACAACTGATGGAGCACCATCAATGACTGGGTCACCACTGTGGGTGTGTGTGCTTAGCTGAAAAAAGCAGTGCCAAGCGTCTTTACTATACCCTGCTATTCATCGCCAACATCTGGTTGCAAAAAACCTCAGTGACTGCCTGCACAAATCATAACACACTGTCACTACTGCAGTCAGGGGTAATTTCGTAGAAAAAGAGGTACAGGAGCTCATTAGCATAACTCATTAGCATAACTTATTTGCATCATTAGCATAACTTATTTGCATCTGATATCACCGGAAGTGTGTCAGAAGGCAACACCCACCGCTCAGGCTCCACTGGACTGTTTTGGATTGCTAGCTATCGGGGGAGGGGACGTGCAGATCTGTCCTCACAGAGGAGGGAGAGCTTGTACCTGAATAAAACTTGGTCTTAAAGGTGCCGCTGGACTGTTTTGGACCAGGGGGCTGCTTCTTGCTCTGACTGAGAGCTGCTGGGAGCAGGAGGTGGGGCTTGTTGCATATGCCTGCCCATGGCGCTCTTTACTGCTGGAGCTCCACTCCTGTGCGCTCCTGCAGGAAATGACCCCTGACTGCAGTGAATAAAATTAAACCCTGTGCTCTCAGTGACTGACTACTCCGGGAGCTTTGTGTTGAGAATGATGAAAATTTTGAACTTGCTGCTTCATAATAAAGTTCGTGGCTATCAACAGGCAACTGCGTGAGATGCTTTTATGACCTTTTTGACACTGTTGTAGAGTTTTTTTGAAGACATGAATGCTTTGCTCAGTGAGATCCGGCATTACACAGCTTACTTATTACAACTATTTGCAAAGTTCAGTGAAATGAATTTGCAGTTGCAAGGAAATGAGTTCAGTCTAAGGCCAAGTCTGTTGTCTCTGCGCTTATTTCAAAGTTAACTCTATTCAAATGCAAGATGGGCTGCTGTGAGCTATACTACTTTCCGAGCCTGTCTGAGCTAGAAGAGAAAGGTGGGATACGATGATCTGCAGGTTTTTTGTGACCCTCTGGATAAGCTGCATGAAGATATGTCTGAGCAATCAGAAGATTTTCTATCAATGGAAATTCCAGATTGGGTGATAAATCCATTTTTATGATACCGAGGAAGTTGGGGTTGTGGAGGAAGAAATAACTGAGCTACAAAATGACAATGACCTGATGCCTAATCTAAGAAATCATACCAAGAGTTTGGGTCATTTGCATTTCTAACATCACATTTGGTGGAATGTGGTTTTACTGTGGTTATCCAATTTCTCTCCAAGCAAAGAAATCCAGATTACTGAATGTGGTGATTTAAGACTTCTGCTGAGTGACTTTAAACCAGACACTGGTAAACTGGTATCACTTCATCATCATCAGTGATCACTTCATCACTGCATTAAGAATTTACTCAATAGTGAACTAGTTACCAAATGTATCTAAGATTCTTGCTAAATGACTATCAGACTCTGAATAGCTGGTATCACGGGATCAAGTTAATCACTTTTGTTGAATTTGGATTTTGAATAAATGTACAATTAATTGTCACTGTTCTGAATTTCATTGTTATTATATTTGTTAGTGATTACCTTCCTTAGTGGCTCATGGTCTTCTGAATAATGCTTTCTATAGGGTAGGGTAGAGGGCACTGGTGATGAGCTCATGGAACCAAGGAGGTGGTGACCTGAAAAAGGCTGGGGACCAGTGGCAGATATGATATGTCCATGTCTCCAGCTGATCACCAGTCTTGCTCCTTCACCCCTTTAATAATGTATCTGTTCTTAGAAACACAGGAGACAGTGCTTAGAAATGCCAGAGATATGGACTTACCAGGTTAGTGCATTTAGGACAAATGCCATCATAGAAACTCTCCCTGGGGGTGTGGAGAATCCCAAGATCTATGCAGGGTTACAAAGAGAAGAAGCCATGTAGATAAACTGGAAACTAGTTCAAGATCTATAAAATACAAGCCTCCTCCTTTCGTGTGCTCTGCTCATAAAACCAGGGCAGGGGAAAAACCTAACAAATTATTCTTCTAAGAATGCAGCGTTTAGGTTTAAACAAACATAACAAAGCAACCAAATCAAATAGAAGGGAATACAGAAACGGACACTTAATGGTGCAAACATTTTAGAAAAGTTGCAGCATGGTTCACTTATCCAAGGAGGGTCTGAACTCTAGCTTTCAACAAACAAAGTCTCTTTCTGTTTAAAGGCTGGACACTCCAGTCCTTCTATGAAATGCCTTCTTGAGCATTTCTGTTTTCTGCCTTCTGCAGAGTGACAGAAACACAGGGGCTTGTTTTGCATTGGGAATGGCAAGCACAGAATGTGGATCATGCCCATAACTGTATAGAGAGAGCCAATTTGGTGTAGTAGTTAAGAGCGTGGACTCTAATCTGAGAGAACTGGGTTTGATTCGCCACACCTTCACATGCAGCTGCTGGTGTGACCTTGGATCAGTTACAAGTTCTCTCAGAGCTTGTACCTCACAGGGCGTCCACTGTGGGGAGAGGAAGAGAAAGGAAATTTTAAGCCACTCTGAGACTCCAAGTGAAGGGCGGGTATAAATCCAATCTCTTCTTTTTCTCTAACTTTAAGGAGAACATCTGAGAAATCCTGGAACCCTAAGGTGGCAACAATCCTGTTTGGTTGCAATGCTGATCTTCAGAACTTTGTATTCCTCTCTCCCCCCCACCACAGTTCAAGTTTAATGATCAGGCCTTCCACCCATCCCTGCTCCAAGCTTAAGTGCCTACCTCATAACTGAAGATCTGGTCAAGAGACGGGCTGCTCCGTAGCAGGCTGTCCACCAGAGCCAACCAAAGGCCCAGAGAGCTGTAGTAAACCGCCTGCATGAGCACGATTTGGGAGAGGATGAGAACAGGATCCCAGACGTAGCTGCGGAACTGGGGAGCCATTCCTCAAGGAGAAGCCAGCTGGCTGATTACACACAAGCCAGGAATACCCCAACGCTCCGAGTGCTCCGAGTGCAGACTTCAGTGCCCAGAGACAACACGGAGCAAGGCCATCGGTACCTGAGAGGGAGCCCAAAGCCAAAATGAGTCACTACAGAGAAAGGGATCACCCACCACCTACCCTCCAGACCGAGAGCGGACCAGCCGGTTAACTTACTGGGGGGGGGGAGAGATATCCCGATGGGCCCTTGGGGGCTGTGGTGGCAATGATTAGCTCACAAGTTGCTCCCTGCCGCAGTGCCACTCATTTATGAGAAAATGCAGTGGGTAAGTTAATGCCCGTTTGTCGGTGCTGGGGAGCGACCCCTGTTGCACTGGCTTTTAGTGCTCCAAGGGCCGCTCAGCTTGACTTGCTTCAGTGGTATTTTAACTTCCCAGTCTGCTCCTGATCCATACTCAAGAGGGGTGCTGCCATTCACATCCTCTGACTTTCCTTGGGGGCAGCAAGACTTCAGGCCCCCATGAGAAAGCAAGTATAAATAGAGAAAGGATAGGAGAAGGGACACCACCACATTGCATGGATGGCACTGGCAGTGATGCAACACAGAAGGGAGCCAAGAAACAGAAACTGATACTGGCTGGATGGGCACTGAAGGATCTAAACAAAGAAACAGGTCTTTTTAAATCCCAATGACTGTGCACAGGCCAGAATGTATCTCGCTCACATAAAGCAGCCTTTAAAATTAATACAACTGATATCACAATGGGATCCCTCTCCATAGGCACAGAACAGCAGAATTAACATTCTGAATTCAGACCAAAGAGCCATCTAAACATTCTGTGTCCAAGAGTGGCCACTTAGGTGCGTCTAAAAACTCACAAACAGGGAATGAGAAAGACAGCTCTAATATCCTGATTGGAGAGTGTGTGTGACCTTTTTATTTAAAGTTATGGGCATAATGTTGGGGGGGGGGTGACTCACTTAATGACCACACCTGTCCTTCCTTGCCTGAGATATTTAAAGCAATGTCTCCCACCCTTCTAAGGCTATTCTCTCTCCAAAGGAAATCCCAAAGCAGGCAGATGTGCTAAAACACTCCCCCATTTAATAGGGCTCATGGGTTTACCACATTTTTCTTACGTCAGTTCCAAAAGGTGTCCTTTTGTTTTGAAACTGGGACTTTACGTAGTCTGAAGGGCAATGCAGCAGATAACACTGCAGTGCTGGAACTCTGACAGCAAAGGTCAAATTCCAACTCGGGGGTGACTTCACACAGTGCAGAGTTCCAACAAAGAAGACAGTACCACACAGGAATTGGCATGAATCCTGCGTATGTATAAATGTACATTTCTACTTTTATGCCGAAATTGTACACAGTCAGCTTTTTATATAAGAATTTTGCAATGTTCAAAGTTACCCCTAATTGTGAAGCACATCACGGGTAGCAGTGAAGACTGGCATTACCCCAATATTGGAGCTGGGGGGAAGGAGGGGGGGGATGAGGCTGAGAAAACGTGTCAGGCCCCAAGTGGATCCGGATGGCACAAGCGTTCCTTTTAATAACCTTCAGAATCACACCTTACTCCTTAAGCCACTCTTTTCCAGCAGGGTTGCCACCTCCGGGTTGTGAAATACCTGGACACTTTGGGGGTGGAGCCGGAGGAGGGCAGGGTTCGGGGAGGGATGCCAATGGGGTATAATGCCATAGAGTCCACTTTCCAAGGCAGCCATTTTCTCCAGGCAGGGCCAGCTCACCCACTAGGCGAACTAGGCATTCGCCTAGAGTGTGGGCCAGCCCTTAGGGGCACCAAACAGGACCCGGCGCCCCCCCGCCAAAGCCCCGCAGCCCCCACCAAAAGGACACGGAGGGGCGCAGCACAGGCAGGCACAGCAGTATCCCCCCCGGGAAGCCCTTCCAGTGGGTTGAGCGAGAGGAAGGCAGCAAAGGTGCAACTCCACCCCCCAAATACAGAATCCGCTTTGAAGGCGCTTTCCGCCCGGATGGGGTCAGTCCATACGGCAGGATCCAGGGGGAGAGAGAGTGGACTGAGAGTGGATCATTGGGCAGGGGCAGCCCCAATCTCCAGAGGGGAGGTGTTTGGGCCCCCCCGGGAGGTTGGCATCTGCACCTCGCCTAGGGCGCAGAAACACCTTGGGCCGGCCCTGTCTCCAGGTGAAGCGGGGGATCTCCAGACACCACCTGGAGGTTGGCAACACTAGCCAGGATTCCCAGGTGAAGCGCTGTTGTGTCCTGATATGGCTTCCCCCATCCTTACATCCCCATACACGACGGGAAACGGCACCTGTTGATTTGCTGCCCTCCACAAAGCCGTTTAAAGATACAAGAGCTCTGCCAAGCAAAAAACACGCACTGCTCTCACCCCTCAACCCCATTTCCAAGACCGGAGCTCCTCCCCGACCTACGAGCTATTCTAGCACCGAACTCCCAAATACTCAACTAATTTCCTCACTGAGCTCCTAGTTTGCGCCCCACCCCCACGCCTCCCGGGCCGGACCTTGAGCCAGGCCTCAATCCAAGCCCCAAATACAGTCGTCGTACCTCAATCCCGGTCAGGCTCGTCTCCACCGTCAGCGACTGATTCCCTCGGGCCGATCACTGAGCCGGCATCCAGCTGCCGAGAACAGAATCTAGCTCAACCATAGAGATAGAGGGGCGATGTCACCACCGCAACTACAAGCAGCCACAGAGAAAGCTTTCTGCGCCTAGAAAGGCACCTAGGAGACCGGAAGTTGTATTAGCCAGGCGGATCGGGCTCTGCGAAGCCTCCGGGCATATGACCGTGAGTCAGTCTCGGAATTTCCTGTCAAGAAGGGCAACGAGAAATTAAAGATGGATCCTAGAGTGTCCTTGTGGGGGAGCCAAGATCTACGTTCCAACACAACACCCTCGACCCTAGAGTTAAGAGTAAAATATATATATAAACTTCCGGTTTCAATGAAAACGCTTCATTTAGATTGTTAAAAAAATGAAATCGCGCCTGCAGCCTTCGAGCCCTACGTTCATTTCGCAGATGCATTTATATTTCAGTTTGCAAACAGCGAAAAGGCAGGAGAGAAAAGAAGTCACAAAACGAAGCCGTTTTAAAACAAGACTCATTCAATGGTGTAATCAAGACACTGTTGTTGAAGTACAGCATCGGGGAGGGGGGTAGCCGTGTTGGTCTGAAGAAGCAGAACAAACAAGACGAATCAAGTTTTATTCATTGTATGAGCTTTCGTGTGCACGCACACTTTGTATCTGTGGAAGTGTGCGTGCAGTGCACACGAAAGCTCATACAATGAATAAAACTATACCACTGTGTCTCTGCGCACACCCCGATATTAACAACAACCTCCGCTACATACATGTTAAACCCCTTCCTTAGAACTTTTTTGCCTCTTACAATCTGCAACATCGGGATTATTATATCTTTCACCCCTTCCCCCTCCCCCCTCGCTCAAAAAGAGCCGGAAATTCGATGGATTGGCGAATACGAAACCTCCTAGCCTAGTGATTGAATGAGTGGCAAAGTTTCATATCACCACAACTTCCTTCCGGCTAGAATCCTTCATATGTGAGGCAAGAGTGGTAGAAGTGCGTAATTTATTTTTAAAAAGCAAAAGCTTATTTTGTTAGCAGGGCGGAAGAAACAGTCATGTCCTACTCTACGAAATTTCTTTTGCTAATTGACTGAGCCTGTTCTCTCACTGATTGGTGGAACAGAATTTTTTTAAGTGACTTTTGCTGTTGGTGTGGAAATTAAAAGCCGGTATTCAGTGTATGAATTTATTTTGGATAATTTTTAAATTAGGTTTGTTTTGGAAACTTAGAGGTCTTAGCCTTTTTTGTACCACGTTGGTGGAAGGCAACATGTCAGGTTTCATTTGGAAAACGTAATATGCCATGCCAGAGAGAGAGAAAATGAGGTTTGTTAGGGTTGCCAGCTCTGGGTTGGGAAATACCTGGAGATTTTGGAGGTGGAGTCTAGAAAGGGCGGGATTGGGGCAGGGAGGGACCTCGGCAGGGTATAATGCCATAGAGTCCGCTCTCTAAAGTGGTCATCTTCTCCAGGGAAACTTATCTTGATCTTCAGGAGACCAGTTGTAATAGCAGGAAATCTTTGGTTGCCACCTGGAGGTTGACAACTTTAAGGATTGTATAGGGTAGTAAAAAAGCATATCCAGCACAGAAATGAATGTGTGGCCATAAAGTGAAAATTGGGACTAACTGAAATCCAGTGTATTTATACTGGTTATTATACTGGTTTTGTTTCATTGTTCTTTAATTGTGTAATTCAGTTTTATTAGAGTTTAATGTGTTATGACGTTATTTATATAATTCTGTAATTTGCTCTGAGTCTCATAGATGGACAGTAGGTGAAGTAAGCAAGTAAATGAATGAGTGGCTAATTTCCTGGACTTCTGGAGTAATTTCCTACCACAGGTGGAATCTTGCTAAAAATTCAAACGTTAGTGAGACACTGTCACTGGCAGTCTGATGTATGATATTGCTAAAGGAAAATTAATTTCCTTTTATTATTTCCCTTACCCAAAGGGAGGGGGAAACTTAGCTCATTAGAAACATAGCTAAAGTTTTTTTGCTCTGTTTTCAATAGGGCTGTTTCATGAAGTTATGTAATCGCTGGCTATTAAACATGCATGTGGGGTACGAACATACACCACAAGACATAACTGTGCATGTTTATGTTTGCAGAGGAAATGTGCCAGTGTAGTGTGATACATATATGACTTCTGTTTTTAGGCTTCGTTAACGTTCATTTGTAAACACAAAAGTCAATATGGGGTAACCAGTTACCCCCAACAATAAACAACCTTTCCCCCCCTGCATCCAGGTTGACAGGCTAAAGTGCATAGTTGAGAAGATATTCAAACCCCCACGCCCCATAGTCCCAGGTATGCTTAATTTATAAAATGACAGATCCCAAAACAGTAGTAGTGCACAGCCTTTTTTATTAGGACTACCCAGAGTACCACAAAATATTGCATGCAAGCTTTTGAATTCCTTGAAATTCTCAGGCTGGGTGTTAATTACAAAGGGGGAGTGGTATTTCAGGGTTTGAAGAAGAGCCTGTAGTGTAAGATGGATGTCTTGGTAAAAATCTGCCTGCAACTCATGTTCTGTGATCCTCACTCAGACAGTCTCATAGATGGACAGTAGGCGAAGTAAGCAAGTAAATGAATGAGTGGCTAATTTCCTGGACTTCTGGAGTAATTTCCCACCACAGGTGGACTCGTGCTAAAAATTCAAAAGTTAGTGAGACACTGTCGCTGGCAGTCTGATGTATGATATTGCTAAAGGAAAATTAATTTCCTTTTATAATTTCCCTTACCCCAAGGGAGGGGGAAACTTAGCTCATTAGAAACATAGCTAAAGTTTTTTGCTCTCTTTTCAATAGGGCTGTTTCATGAAGTTATGTAATCGCTGGCTATTAAACATGCATGTGGGGTACGAACATACACCACAAGACATAACTGTGCATGTTTATGTTTGCAGAGGAAATATATGACTTCTGTTTTTAGGTTTCGTTAGCGTTCATTTGTAAACACAAAAGTCAATATGGGGTAACCAGTTACCCCCAACAATAAACAACCTTTCCCCCCCTGCATCCAGGTTGACAGGCTAAAGTGCATAGTTGAGAAGATATTCAAACCCCCACGCCCCATAGTCCCAGGTATGCTTAATTTATAAAATGACAGATCCCAAAACAGTAGTAGTGCACAGCCTTTTTTATTAGGACTACCCAGAGTACCACAAAATATTGCATGCAAGCTTTTGAGTTCCTTGAAATTCTCATGCTGGGTGTTAATTACAAAGGGGGAGTGGTATTTCAGGGTTTGAAGAAGAGCCTGTAGTGTAAGATGGATGTCTTGGTAAAAATCTGCCTGCAACTCATGTTCTGTGATCCTCACTCAGACTTTCCCTTAATCACCAGTCCCCACAAGGTGACTTCACAGCGCTAGAAGACAGGTTCTCAACTCTGACTAAACACTACTGCATTATTTCCAGATTCTAAGTCTATTCACAGGCAACAACCTTGGGGGAGAGGGTGAAGCTCTGTTGAGTTCTAGGTCAGATGAATGGCAAAGTGCTTCATGCCATGGGGTGGGGTTGCCTGGGTTGGGAAATACCTGGATATTTTGAGCGTGGGGCCTGTGGAGGGATGGCTTTGGGGAGGGGCGGGACCACAGAGGGGTATAATGCTATAGAATTCACCTCCAAAGCAGCCATTTTCTCCAGGGGAGCTGATCTCTGTTGCCTGGAGATAAGTTCTAATTCTGGGAGATCTCCAGGCCAATGTTCCCTCTAAGTTGTGAGCAGAAATTCTGTCTTGTGAGCTAAAAAAGCTAATAGATTTAATGAGCGAGTCTACATTTGACTATCACGTAAATTAGTTTTTTAGAAGATTGCTTCCATAACCTTGTAAAAATCTCAGAATACATTCTTTTAAATTATATTTTAAGAATAATTTAAACATTATAAGAGAAAACAGAATCAAGTCAAATTTCACCCACCCCATGCCACTATATTGGTAGACCTGGCCTCGGACTGTCACCCTATGCTGAGCCTTAGAAAACATATCAGCACTGGTGGGGGGGGGGGGCTCATGCAGTCTACTTTGGTTTTTTTTAGTGAAATATGACAACCAGCATTACAGGTCAAGTATAGCAGAGGAGGAACAATCACTGTCAGAACCCTGCCTAACCTAACAAACAGGAAGTTGCTTAAATGTTATCAACCCGCCCAGACGACTTATTTATTCAGATATTTGTATCCCACTTTTCCCTGTGACTCAAGGTAGCTTACAAATCATACTGAAAAGAAAAATATGGATGTGGGGAAAAAGGGTTTTCCCCCCAGCTCCATTGTAGCCTATGGGGACCATTATAGTCAATGGGCCCTGTAGGCTACAATGGAGATTGATCTTGGGGGTATCTGGAGCTCAGAGATGTTTTTTTTTTAGGTAGAGGCAGCAAATTTGCAGCATAGCTGCTGGTGCCTGTCCTCAACCCCTCCCAAGTTTAAAAAAGATTGGACCAGGGGGTCCAACTCTATGGGCCCCAGAAGGAGGTGCCCCCATCCTCCATTGTTTCCAATGGAGGGGAAAATGCCTTGTGGGCTGAAGCAGAAATCCCTGAGTTGCCTGTTAAAACTTTGTGTGCCAGCACCCCCTAGCACAGCTTAGAGGGAGCTATGCTTCAGGCCCCGCCCGGAGGCTGACAGCCCTAGCTATGGATGTTCCCTTTGCAGGCTAGGGGTGGGGAGGGAATCAAAAGAATCCATTAGGACCCATTAAAGTCCATTTCTAAATTAGCCTTGTCAAAGGGCTTACTTGCTTTTCTTAATTAAAAATATGTTTTTGGTTTCATAGCCTTTGAGATTTATCTGCTTCATTTATATACCACCTTTCTTCCCAATGGGGTCCCAAAGCATCATCCATTGCTCCCCTCCATTTTATCCTTCCCTAATCCCTGTGAGATAGGTTAGGCTGAGAGTCTGTGACTGGCCCAAGGTTACCCAGCAAACTTCCATGGCAGAGGGGGGTATTTGAAACGAAACTTCCCAGAACCTAGCCCAACACTCTAACCACTACACCATATTGATTCTCAAAGTAGATTTAACTCTCACACCAGCACTGAT